CCCTCCCTTCATTGAGCGAATACTTTTGGCAAATACGTGGATTACCAAAGAGGTAATAATAGCATTCCTGACATTGCAACAATGACAGCATTATTTTAAAGTATTGTCTCTAAAGGTAGCATACTGAATAAGCTATTTATCCTTGTCTGGGAGGACAAGGCCTTTCAATATCCCCATGCATAAGAAAAGAATAGGCTGGGGCTGTAGTCTGATTTCAAGAAAGGAAAACTATTTCGGGACAGTTCAAAATAATGCTTGGAAATGGAAATTCAAATGATACCGTTTTAAAAACCATCAATTAGATATGATTTTAGGACAAGAATCAGAAGATTCGTAAATATTCATAATTGAATGACACACGCCCTTAAAACTAAAACAACAACAACAACAACATGATTTTTCCGTAGAGATCGGTGGGTTGTATTTAATACTATAGGAGCAGCAGCAGCTACAGTACCGTACCCTGCCCGGTATCCGCCCGATAGGCAGTTTTTCTTAGATAACTTTTCTGAAAATGAATTATACAGGCGCTAATGTATATCAATTTGTAGCCGAAATTCTAGCGAATCCAACCATGCCATTCTTATGCCTGAAATCGTTAGCAATTGTCCGTAGTGCGCCGTCTGCGTGAGGCATTTTCCTTGCCTATTTCCGCCTAGACCTACCCTAATTCGTCCCGATGGTGGACGCGCATCAAAAGTATAGAAAAGGGAGACATCTCGGGTAAACGTTAGGCCAAATAAAATTGCTTCCCAGTAGAATTTGATCTACATGATATTTTGATAATTGATAATTCTTTCTTTATTTCTTCTTTTGCCTCTGTAGGCCTACTAATAATGTCTGTTCACTGTTATTCACCACTTTCTGATCTGGGAAAATTCTGTAACTGCCTTTCCGGGAAAATCCTGTGACTTGTCTTTAATGTTTTAATAATGGTAATCAGACAAATCTGACTAAAGTCACTTAACATATCGCTAATCATTTTTAAATTAACCACTAGGGTGAAAGAATTTAATTTAAAAAAAAACTATAACCACTATCAAAGTGAACATATTGTAAAAGAAAGTAATGGTCCTTCATTTTTATTTATTTTTAAATGCAAACTTTTCTCGACATCTCTCAAATCTTGATTCAAAAATAAATTAGCGTATATTTTTAGGCATAATAATTGGTTGGAAAAAGCATCTAGCAATATTGTCATTAGAATTATCATCATCGCCGACATCGTCTAAATCATCACCATTACAATTTTAGGGTATATAGGTCTATAACGCAAATGTGGTTTCCTTTTTGATTATTTTTTTAAGACTTCAAGTTGTTGTGTTTTTTGTTTTCCACTTGTTCTAAATTATGCAGTATTATATTTTGATAATGCATTCAATAATAATTATAGCCAACTTGAAAGACAAAACTTTCCGAAATGATCTTAAAAACGAAGTTGTCGATTCACTTCCATAGAAAGTCAGTGTTTTCTTTTTGCAAAATAATGTAGTATAATAATTAATGCAAAAGGAGTGGTGGTAGGGGGGGGGGGGGGTCACCAGTCACGTTTTTGCCACTTCAACATCCAAAGAGGGTTGAAAGCTATTGTATAAGTATTTTGTTGACATTACCGAGAACAACTCAAATCATGTCCTGCAATGTATTGCCCTTCTCTAAATTTGGCACTATACCCCCTCCCCCACATCTTCTACATAATTCATCTATTTATTTATTCATTCAATATTCATTCATTTTATTGCCGAGAGATATTAATGTGATGGATAGAGATAAAAAAATGTTCACCTTAATGTTCGCCATAAAACTTTAGCAAACTAACAACGTATATAAGAATTACCCTAGCCATTTGAAAGGCTGACAGGCGTATAGGCCCTTGTGAAATGTATCATTTATAGTTTTATACTACTCTTTCGATAGCCATTCATATAGGTTTATTTCACATAAAACAACATTTATTTTATTCACAGTCAGCTGACGGAAATTTGATAGCAGCGAAAATGTCATGGTCCGTGTTGGCAAAAATATATAACACACAAACATTTGAAAAAAGATATTATAGCCTAATGTATAGAAGCACTAAGAAAAAAGGATGTAAAAGTGAAGAGGGAGACTAAAAGAAAAATCGGGGAAAGGAGGGGCGTAATCGAAGAAAATTGAGGGAATAAATTAAACTAAATTAATTAAAACAAAAACTAATACATCAATCCTCTGCCTGCATCCTGTATCGTATCAGAATCAAGCACTCTTTTCGCTACAAAGCCACGACGCTGGATTGAAAGGCGACACAAGCTTCAGCGACATAGAACATAAATACAAACTTTTTGCAAATCTACCAAACCTGGCAACTTTTTTAAAAGCCGGACTTAGTTGTCATCGGGATCACTTTTGGAGAACCGAACTTCAAGCATTTTTTGCAACATTAATCAATCATATATAATTTTGTCACAAAATTTAACTGCATGATTATCACATTACCACATCGTTACCAGAAATTGTCGGTTGCTCGATCGAACGAACGGCCAAACATCATTGCAACATTCTTCGGGGGGGGGGGGGGGGGGTTCAATCTCAGCCTCCCACCTTATTCGCCTACCATTACCCCCCGGAAAACTACCCCCAAAGATAATTACCCCTAAGGACAATTACCGTGCCTCGACGAGCTACCCCCGGAAAAGAGTCCCCCCCCCCCCACCCCCTGAAACTTAACCCTATATAGGACAATGCCCCCCTGGGACAACCAAGGACAACCGCCCCGAGGACTACCCCCTGTTCAGTATGAACAGGGGGAAGTCAACCTCGATAATTAGTTGGGTAATTTTTAGGGGGAGATCATTAATTTCAGGGGGTGGTAATTGTCCTCTGGGGGTTTAATTGTCCACGGGGGGGGGGGGGGGTAATAATTGTCCTAGAGGGTAATTTATCGGGGGGGAGTAACTTCCTCGGGGTGGTTGTCCTCGGGGGGGGGGGGGGGGGTAATCGTCCTTGGGGTAATTATTGTACCGCTAATTGGCCGGGGGTGACATGCCCAAGGGGTAATTGACCTAGAACCTTCAAAGGGCAATAAATAAACAGCTACTCAATTTACACTGAATCTTATTTTCTGGTTGTAAACTCAACAAAAAATGAATGGCCACCTCTAAATGATTATTTTGTAGACCATGCAAGTGAGCCTGCAAAATGTTAAGTTTAGTAGCACGGTTATGATTGCTCATCAAAAAGTGAAACAACATTCCGTCTGGCCGATTTTGACAACTGCATGGCTGTAATACCAGTAAAGAGTTTGATGCCTGGTGACCATGTTATCTCATTTATGATCTTTCTTTTATCTGCAAAATGTAGGTCAACATATACGGGGGGGGGGGGGGGGGTGAATTCCCAATTTACAAACTGTTTATAGGTCGAATGTAGTTTTATAGTATTTGTGTATTCTTCACCTTCTTCATACTCTCGAGTTGCGATTTTATGGAGTAAACCGAGTGTTTTATCATGGAAAAAAGACAATGAAGTGTGCACTTTCAAAAAACCAACCGCAGACCTAAAAACACACAAATAGACTAAAAAACCACGTGCAGATAACCTTTTCTCTGTTAGAGCATAAACAACGCACGGTACATACACTGAACTAGCGCGTGTGTTTGAGTGGGCGGAAATAGGGCAGGGGCATCACAGGGCGACATGGCCGAGTTCAAGCCTCGATAACTTTTTTATAAATAATAATTTTCGCAAGAAATTTGCTCAGGTAAAACATCAGGAATTTAAACTTCCATATCTCTTTAAACAAAAGTAAAATTTCCACCATATTTTTTTTCTGATCGTTTTGAATAGGAACTTCATGTTTTTTAAAAAGGTTGATTCACACCTAAATAAGCGCATAGCTGACTGCTGCGCAGTGACGTCATTCGCGTATCTCCGTTAAATGGGCGATCGACAGTGTACCATATTTCGTGCACATGTTCCTTACAACGTGTATGCTGCTAAAGGCAAGTTAGTCGCACGCCTTCATTGCGCACTTAGAAACTCGGGCGATGGAAGACGGCCGTTGTGTCTAATAAGCCACTGGTAACAGGGGGGCGGTAACTGGGCAGGGTACGGTACTCCAAACTTATCACTACCGGACTCCGGACCGGACTTTCAAAACCTAAACGACGATGAGAAATTTAAACTAATGAAGTCCAATGGCGAAACCGACATTAACGAAATAATAATATTTGGAATAAACGAAATGTACGACAAACGATCGAATAGAACTACTGAAAACAATAAATCTATATAAGAATACACATAACATAAAATTATCCCCCTTCCCCCTTTAAAAAAAACACACATCATATTTGGCCTTGTAACTTCTTAACTATTTATTTGTATGCCGTTAATAAGTGTTGACTTTGCAATATCTAATCTATTATACGATAGAGACACGTACGACCAAATACGAGATAAGTAGATAATTTTTTCTCTTGTTGATATCTGATTAATCTCGCTGAAATTTAGTTCTTTTTGAAGCATTATTTATTGTCATCCCATGCTCACTCTCCCATTCACGAGGTTGGATTTGGAATATACTAGTCGTATTTTCGGGGTCATCTCGTGGGGACGGGTTGGTAAACACATAATATATATTATATACATACTGTTTATCTATCATGTTGTATATTTTTCTTCCTTCTTTTCTTTTTCCTTTTTATTTGAAAAGAAAAAGAAGAAAAAAAGAGTATTAAAAAAGTATTACGAGTAATTAAATATATTTTAATCCCCGTATATTACATTTCAGAAGAGACAATACCAAAGAGTTATTATCATTAGTTTTACGTTTATTTCTTTCATTCCTGGCTATTGTCATCTTTACTCTTACACTCAATTATCTATGTTACACTACAATTTTGAAGTTCATTTCCAATGTTATACAAAAAGGAAACTGAAAATAATCCTAATTCATTTTGGATAAAATTTGAATTGAATTGTAATCCTGCGCTAGCTGCTAGTGAGCCCTCTGCGTGAAAAACATTAAACATTTTCTAGACAATTTGCTGCGAGTCGAGTCTCAGCTCAAAAGACTTTCGATTTGAAGTCTAAAAACACACATTTTCTGGCATTTTAGAAACGATGAAGTCAACGAGGATCAGAAATGCCCCCAGAAAGGAGGACAGATCAAGGTAACATAGCTTTCCTTTTAAAAAGATGTAGACAGAGAGGTCTGGAATGAGATTTGAATGAGTGTCGTGTAAAAAGTGTTGTGGCATCGCCATAAGCATGTAACTCTGGCCACCGCTCCCCGTAACTCCGCCGAACCATTCACGGAACCGTCCGCTTGTGGGGCGGGGCCTCGCTGCGCGCGCCGTGGTACGTCGGCCTCGGTCGACTGACTTCAGTGAAGTTCAATCTTAAATTGCCGAGGGTAACCTTAAAGGTAATACAAAGTTTTGGTATGGGGTCATGAATTTGGTTCAAATTAACATATTGGAAGCATATGTGATCCTACAATATTCAGTAACCGTTGTCGCTGTTAAAATCAAGTCTAAAGTGATGAAATTGTAAATAGGTCTAAGTAATAAGCTGTTCATGTTGTAGATATACAGTATAGCTCCCTCTCAAGGTCAAGATATCAGTGTAGCTATAAAATAATGTTTTTTGACTAGAATCGACCAATTGGCAGGATTGGCTATTCCCATTTGGAAATTATATACCACAACTGCATATTCTGAGATTTTCATGGTCGCAGCTACCATTGTTTGGCCGTAGGCGCTATTTGAAATTTATCAAAATTTACCGGGAGCACCTGTAAATTTTTTAATTCAAATTTTCTTAAAAGCAGAAGCGTTTTAGGGGCTAAATTTTCTGGTGCTTATAATACATCCACAGGGGCATCCAAATATATACAAATTGTAAAGAATCACTATCCAGCCCATTTTCAAAATTTAGATCTAGATCTCGTCTACCAAAACTTTGTATTACCTTTAAGGACTAGGTCTAGTTGATAATATGAAATATGATATTGATATCACCTACCTAGCCATAAATAATTGGCACCCATGCCCGGCCCTGCCCCTTCGTGAAGTCTAAACAAAAGTAAAATGTGTCCAAAATTAACCCTTCCCCAACTTATTTCACGCACCCAACTAACAAACAGTGCACCACAGTTACCACTTTCCTCAGAGTTTGCTAGTGGACTCTTCTTTCTTCTCTGCTTCTTCTTCAAGATAATCTAATTTATATAATTATATGTATAATGTAATCTCACATTTTTAGTCTTTGGACTTTCTGACGAGATTGAATAAAACCTAATTAGAATTTGAATATTTTGTTTTATACAAGCCTAGATCTACTTAAGATTTTTGCAACCTCATTGTCAATTCTTGATCACATGACATGCGCCAAAAGTACTGTTGAACAGCATGATTCTCCGGCCATGCCACTCGACTCCGTTTGATCAATTTGCACCATTGCGCTCTGACGTCACTAACGATGTACAAAGTATATTGAGAGGTAGATCTAAGTGACTTAACCATCATGCAATGGTACAAATGGATCAAACCTAATTGCACTCTGACGTCACAATAAACATAAAAGCGTGGTACGCGCGGCGCATGGTTTGATGCCTGCTTGGTAATAGTGCGCGCTCACTATCGGTAATTTCATTGATAAAAACCAAAAAACTTGCTGAGATTTGGACAATCATGCCCTAGGAAAATTGTTCTTTAGAACAAAAAAAATGTTTTAAGCCCGTCAATGTCTGAGGTGTTGTATAAAACAAATAGTGAATGGTCTTTATTCGTGCAATGGAACAAGATGTTGCATTCAGTGAAAGATGAGACGCTCTATTCAACTCAGCTGCGCCTCCTTGGATAGAGCGTCTCTTATCTTCCCTTTCACCTTGTGCAAAATCTTGTACCAAATCATGCCATATCATGGCCATTCTCTATTTGTATAATATTTTGAAGATTAAGAGAATCTTGCACTTGGGCCTATAAGTGATAGCAGGCAGGGTACTCTAGTGATAAGTTACGCCTATATGTATTAATTGACCAGCAAAGCAAATGATTCACTTCATACATTCTCCTTGCCTGATCTCCCATGCAGACCTCCCGATACAGTCCAAGGAGGAGAGAGCGCCCCCACCAAGAAGCAGCCCCCAAACCTGCAGTGCTGGACGCCATCATCTGGAGCGTCCCTCAAGCTCCTGATGGCTGCTAGGTTCTGTGCTGCTCTCCTCAGTAACATCACAGACTGCGATGAGACCTACAACTACTGGGAGCCAGTGAGTTCAACACTTATTCTCATATCGAAGGGTTCAGTGACACAAAGACGTAACTCTATTTTGGCCATTTTGAGTAAAAGTGGTTTATGTGTCACTGAGCACTCGGGCCTTAAGGAGTTGAGTCTATGTTTCACTAGCCATTGACTTCAATGGGTGTTGGGTAGAGTTAAGTCTTTGTGTTTCTTGGAAAGCCCACATTCTTCTGAGCATTTTGAATACTCAGAATACTCCTTTGGGCAAAATATGGAGTTACCGTAAATCTCTGTGTATAAGGGAACATTTTTACCGATTTTTTTTGTTGAAAGTTGGGGTGCGTCTTATGTACACAAAAAAAATAAAAATTAAAGTTTCGATTTATGCCCCTCCAACTGGCGCTATGCCTGGCAGTGTCTCCCAGCTCAGTAATCTGTGTGTTGACTCACCACTCGGAAACTACAACTACACTCACATTTTTCTGTTATCTTGGTTTGAAAGTAATCTTTCTTATACCGGTAGATCTCAATATGTAGTTTTTTTATAATAATTCCTCAAATTTTTCTTCTGTGGCATACCACAAGGTTCTATCCTAGGTACTCTACTGTTTTTAATTTACATTAATGATCTTACACATTCTTTTAAAAACGACATTGTTACTATTATTTTTGACAAGTTCACAAGCACAAATCGGCGCCTTCAACTGCACCTCGATGTTAAATGAAAGTACTTCCCTGCTTGGGTTTTCGGCAAAAAAAAAAAGAAGAAAAGATTTCCCCCCATTTTTTCCTTCTTCTTTTGCCACCCAAAATAGGGGTGCGCCTTATACACTGAGATTTACGGTATGTCTTTGTGTCACTGACCCCTCGATATGATGTTGTAAACTTCCTCTAAAGAGGTAATTTGGCAAAGTAATATGACATAAGGCATGGCTTAACACTAACTGGCATCTGAGACATGTGGGCACCCAAAATATAAACCAGCCTCCCCCTAAGGAACATTAGTATTAAACATTCATGAAAAATAATAGCCTCGATGCTTTTTACATTTACAGTACATGTACATGTATTTTCTTAATTCCATGATGCTTGATAATGTATTGCAACATATAAAAACAAAATACCTTAGACTATCCCATTTTAACAGTTCTGCTTAAATTACTTGATATTTAAATATTAGCTCTGTAAAGTATCACTAAGAGTAAACAAACATTTGTGTGATTTATATCCTGTATCTCTGTAGACTCACTTTCTAATCTACGGGCGGGGTTTCCAGACGTGGGAGTATTCACCTGTGTATGCCATCCGATCCTATGCATACGTCTTCCTGCACATGCTTCCGGGCAAGCTCTATTCATGGATCCTGGACTCAAATAAGGTGGGGATTAAAATGCCGAACTGCTTTAAAGCCCCACTGCACTACTTATAGCTACTTGCGCCCTCTATGTAACATACAATGCCTAATCGGTGACCATTGGTCCCCCATGATCCCCTTTTTCTTATGTTAATTGAGAGCTTATTTGATGAGATAGCCACCTGTCAGTGACCATGCAGGGAGGTCTAATTCCTCCTGGCTAAACTAGTGCAGTAGGGCTTTAAAGATGGTCGAGTTCTGGTAAAGATTAAAAATTATTTTTGTGAGGTTTTGGATTGTTGTATATTTAAGTGTGCAAGAATATAAATATAGCAGTGTCACATGTAAAGGGATTGCTTCTGAAATGTCTTATTCCAAATTAGGGCTGCGACGTGTAGTCGAATGCTCGAGTACCCGCACCGCTGACAACTACTCGGATACGATTTCTCGTACCCGAATATTCGGCCGCAAAAAAAAAAAAAAAAAAAAAAAAAATTTTGTCCAGGCCGACGCTTACCCGTGCCTGGGTGAGCGGCGGCGATGGCATGGTACCGTCGGTAAAAATGTTTCCCAACTCAAGCACTGTCAAACTCACCACTCAGAAACTGGGACCAAATGTCTGGATTTCTGTTTGGACTTGTAGGAAAATGGATTATTCTGCCATCTTTGGTTTGTAAAGCGGCATTGTTTACTGTTATCATTATTATTAAATCGGCGCCTTTAACTGCAACTCTAAGTAAAATTGCAGGCGTTTTCGGCAACAGAACTGGGATACTGCTCCAAAGGTATGGTGGTGGCCCCCCCCCCCCCCCAAAAAAAAAAAAAAAAATCAAAAAAATTCAACAAAAAAAAAAAAAATCAAAAAATTATGAAAAAACATGGCGTCCGAATATTCGAGTATTCGCTTGTAAGCCTGGGAGTGTACTCGGGTACCTCATTACACTGTTGTGCACAGCCTTATTCCAAATAACTTTGGAAGTCAAATGAGATCCCTTGCTCTTGCATTTCCTACCTTATAGAATAGCCTTTCTGATGACATAAAAAAGTGTATAACCTCTGATTCCTTTCAAAATCATGTAAAAACGCTTCTGTTTAATTCTTAATTATTTCTACATGGGCCTTGAAATGACCAATGCACCAAGTTCAGCAGTACTCCTAACACTGGTTAGCCAACAATAATTCATAATAAACGTTTGTTTGTCCCACAGATCCTTGTCTTCTATTTCATCAGATGTCTTCTTGGCATGATATGTGCTCTCACAGAATTCTATTTTTACAGGTAAGAGGAAAGTTTATATTAGTACTTCTTCTTCTGTATATTTGTCAGGCCTGATAAAAACCTGATTTAAATCGGTTTCCCGATTTTTTCCCGATTTTTTTTCTTCTTCCCGATTGTATTTTTTTTTTTTAACAGATATTTTTTTCTTCCCTATTTTATCCTGATTTTCCTGATTTCCCCCTTATTTTCTCTATTCTTCCCTATTTTGCCTTATTTTCCCCCCAGTTTTCTTACTCGAAAGGGGGGATGTTGTTAGATGCCATTTTTTTCCCTTCGAATCCTCTTCTTTTTTTTTTTACTCAAGGGGGGGTGTAGTTGAGGCTAACAAAAAAAAAAATTTTTTTTTAGTGCTCACATCACCCCTGATTTGTGTGTGAGTGTGGAATTTAATGTTTACTTTATATCAACCACTTGATTTTTTACGTCTGGGGACTGACCTTTAACACCACCATCCAAAAAGCATGTCTTAGTTTCAACCGGGGTCTGCCTGTGACAATTTATAGGCGACGTCAGAGAGTTGATGATGCAAGTGAACGTGACCATCTCACATCTCCCTTGAAGACAATAGAAAACTTTTCTACGAGTGACAGAGTTGAAGGTATGGTCTAAACATGCATGCAGAGGTTCACCCTGTGATCTGACGTATGCTTCAGTGACATTTCTTCCAGGCTGTATTTCATCAAAGATATCATGTTATGAATTTAGGGGAAGTTTAGGATTAGGGTAAGGTATACTGGAAGGTCTTGGTTTGAAGTTAAATCATTTGACCAGAGGGCAACTGTTACTGGAGCAGATGTCATACAATCGCCCACCCAAGTTTAACAGTCTACCGAAAGAGAACGTGACATTGTGTAGAGAGTCTTCATCAGCATTAGGGCCCTGTTTCATGAAACTTGTCAAAAATAAATGCTAGAATTCTATGTCAAATTTGCTCAGCCAAGCAAATGCAATTTCAGTAGCTTACAAGACTTATTGTAACTTAACTTTGATGAAACTGGGCCCTAATCTGGATATATTGAGATCAAGCATCAACTTTGTTATTCCTTGCGCGCTTTCTTTTCTGTGTTTTCTTTGAAAGGGGTGTGTGCAAAAACTTTGGAGGTAGCGTTGGAAGATTGACGTTGGCCTTCATGATCCTCAGCACTGGAATGTTCATCTCAAGCGCTGGTAAGAAAATGATTTTGGGTGGTATTCTCGAAAGCGGACTGACTTTAGTCCATGGTTTAATCCAAGTAGGGAATGCCAAGTGTCCATATGAATATTGTTTTTGAGTCATTTAATCTGTCACTAAATTAAAATAACATTGAATCACATAATTGATAAACAACAATATAACTATGAAATAATTATGTTATCATGGTAATTTAGGGACATATCAAATTATTTAAATATCTATTCATATGGACACTTGGCATGCCATACTTAGTTGGAGGATTAAACCATGGACTAAAGTTAGTCCGCTTTCGAGAATACCACCCTTTAGGTTTAGCGTCAGTTGAAAAGGGACCGTTATCCAAGGGTTGTGTTGCTCTGTATGTTTAGGACTTCACACCGATCTCCTGTAATAAGAACTTACTCTGGATGCCTTTAAAGGGGCATTGAAGGAAGCGGCCAACTGATGGCAGCACATCGCTGTCCACGTTTTTAACAGCACATCACTGTATATATGTATATTTTGCACCTGGATTGATGCCTACACACATAGTGGACATGGCACACACCACACCGCAGTGCGTAATCTTCGTTGCAAGAAGTAGCATTTAACGAGGAAGAAGAAGAAGAAGAAGAAGAAATATCAGCTTTGAATACTCTTAGAAAATAATTTCCATGAGTAATGGGTACACGTACCACTCACATATTCTGTTCTTCAAAGAGTATTCATCTGAAATGAAATCATATGACTGAATGTTAATTAGGCAGCTACGCAAATAAAGTGTTTCTACAATTATCAAGGCATTGCCAAATTTAGAATTTGTCTCTCTTAACTCTTTTTATTAGTATTTTGTTTAGGAAAGCACAACCTACACTGCAAGTATGATGGTCTGTAGACCTTCCTTTTGATTTACTCTTTGGGGATTGAATCATTCATGAATTATTCATTTCTTAAATTTACATAATGCATATCATGTTATATCACTAGAATTGGGGTACCGGTATGTCAAATAATTGAAACCATGAGGATCTAATATGTAATAATAGTGTTTGAAATATTTTGTTTTTTTAGAAGATCGTCTAACAGATCAATCACAGTACATGTATCTTTATTGTGTGTCGCACAGAAGAAAAAAAAATTGATATCTGTGGAGCTTAACAGAGATGTGTTTTTTTTCTTTTCTTTTGTCTTAGCATTTTTGCCAAGCAGTTTCTCCATGTATATGACCATGATATCAATGGGAGGATGGTATACTAATAATCTAAATGTAAGTATTCAAACCAACCTTATATTTAGATTGTTAATTAATATGGAAAGGTTAAAATAATGACGTGGCAATCCCATGGCCTGGATTAAAGCCTGTCTGCACTAGTTTGGCCAGGAGGATTAGACCTCCCTGTCACTGTCACTGACAGGTCATCAAATCAGCTCTCAATAAGCATAAGAAAAAGAGGATCATGGGGGACCAACAGGCACCGATTTGGCATTGTTTGCTATATAGAGGGTGCAAGTAGCTATAAGTAGTGCAGTGGGGCTTTAAAAAGTAGCTATTATGTCTGGGGTTGATAAAAAAGAAAACTGGAGATCCTTTTCCTGTACATGTATGTATAACTTTGATGTACAGTACAAGCATAATGTCATCTGTTTAGGGCTTGGCAATGATAAGAGTAAAAGCCCCTATTGCCGTTAGCATAAAATATATCTTGTCCATTATCAAATCTAAAAGGGTTGTGGAGAAAACAAAACAATCAAATTTATCCATGTGGTCAATGGTTTCTCTTAAATTATTTGACTTGAATTATTTAATTCTTATTTCAGGTAGCCATTCTTGCTACAGCCATGAGTTCTTTCATCAGTTGGCCGTTTGCAGTAGCCATCGGGTAAGTACAGCTGACTTTAGAAGTCTCAATGAAGCATTGTCCAGATGTGCTGTGGTAAATTGTGGCATTTTTCATTATATTTTAATTTCTTTAATTTTGAAATGTTTTATATGCAATAAGGCCCCCAAAAAAGTTGTTGTATTGCCCTTTGTGACCGACCCCAAAATCTTGAAATCTATGGTCGGCTTAAATTTATTATTTATTTTTTTTACTGTTTTTTAGAAAATAAATGTATTAAAGCATATTAAAACTGAAAAATATCAGCCCAAAGAGGGAGTACCAAAAAAAAAGAAGATTTCTGACTGACCGACCGACCCATGTTTTGGCATCTAAAGGGCAACACAACATCTTTTTTTTTTTAAGGCCTAACGTAAGTGTAAATGCTTCCCATTTCTGCATCTTATAACATAGAGCTCCATTAATAAGCAGAGGAATTTTGCTACATAAAGTTGCCATTCATTTACACGTTTTAAAAACAAGCGCCTCGGTTTACCACTTCATGTCTGAAAGTGCCTGTAGAGTTTCTATTTGGAAATTGGGGACAGCCTGGATAATTTGTTCCCTTTTTTTTCATTTAGAAGAAAAATCTAGATATTTGAGAAAACTAAATCACTTAATCAGAAAAATTGTGGCATATCATTGCCCGATAAAGAAAGTCCTTGGTTTTTTATATTTTGTCTTGTGTCCGTGAGGAGAAAATGTATTGAAGATTTTTTGAAGGTGTTTTGAAGGTGTTTTGAAGGTGTTTTGAAAGTGTGTTAAAGGTGTTTTAAAGTTGTTTTGAAGGTGTTGTGAAGATATTTCAAACTGGAGATCCTGTATGTCAAAATATTAATTCTGGAAATTTGAAATGTAATCTGGAGAAGTTCTGGGAAACATCAGGGAATTTAATAGCTTTGTTATAAATTTGATTTTATGTTGATTTGTATGAATTGAGTGAATCTCTTGACATTAATTTTTCTTTATTTGTTTTTTCTTCAGACTACCCATAGCAGCTGACATCGTCCTGAGAAGACAACACGTAGCTTACTTTGTTCAGTGGTGTGTGATAGCTGTCATTGTCATCCTTGTAAGTCACATTTTCTATTTGATTGCAGGATAGCTAACCCTTTACTGTTACAGTCAAACTTGTTTTAGCGACCACCTGTGTAGAAAGAACATCTGTCTACAAAGACTATTTATTTTGTTTCCCTTGAAAATTGTTTGTCATTGAAACCTGAACCATTTGAATTGTTTGCGTTTTAAAGATAATATGGGTATGAATGATTCCTTTTTGTCAAACTTTATGGGCATGATTTTGGGAGTGTATTTATTATTTCTTTTCTTGGGGGATGCCAAATCATGGATCAGAATGTTCTACACATTTTTACTAAAAAAAACATATACTGTACAGACACTATTTTTTTCTGCATTTTATTATTTGTAAATAGCTTCCTTACGAAATCCTCTGCCGATAGTCAGAATAGTGGTAGTTCTAAAGATTTCACATAAAACTCTTACATCAATGACCTTCTTGTTCTCAGCAGAAGATATTGATGACCTCATTATTTATTTTCTTTCCTTTTCTTGTTTGTTTTTTTACAGATACCTCAGGTTATGATAGACACATACATGTATGGAAAATTGGTTATTGCACCGCTTAATATTGTCACGTATAATGTTTTTAGTGAACATGGTCCAGATATATATGGTAAGCGGTAACTGTATTTTGCAAATAGATCTCTTTCCCTTACCTACATTCCTGTCTTTTCTTGCTCAGCTTCCTTTATTCATCTTACTCTGCTATCTCCTCTTACTTTTGTCAGAATGTATTCAACTGTTTGTTAATCTAATAGATGAAGTTGTGTTGTGGACATTTATGTATTCGTATGTCATTCATTGTTATCTCCTGCCAGTGGAGGCCAAATTTCTGTGTTTTTTAACATGGACAATAAAATCTGAATCTGAATCTGCATCTATGTAGCAAAAGATATGGATTAATCAGTTGACTCTGCAAGAAGTAGTTAACTATCCATTTGATACTGGCTTGTAATTATTGAATGTTGAAATTTGCTAGAACTTGTTCGTAAATATTTGACAGGCTTACTCACAGGGAATTTACTGTGCAGTTTTGGACAGATATGCAGCTGTAAACCACATTGTTTTTTAAGAAGTTATGATGACGTGCAATAATGCTTCACATTTCGTACATGTATCTTACAACACAAAGCTACAGTAAGTGAATACCGGTACACGTAAGACCTTTGTTGGGCCCAGTTGCCATTCATTCACACGCAATAAAACGATGTCATATCCAAACAAGCCTTTATGACGTAGATTGGCCGTGACACACCATTGGTTGGCTGGATGCATTGTTACTGCACAGTTCACATGTCAAACTTGTGTTATGCATGAAATAAATGTTAGAATAATGCATTTCTTTTTCTTTCTTTATGTTTTCTTCCCCTATGCAGGTGTTGAACCATGGTCATTTTATTTTCAGAATGGATTTCTGAATTTTAATGTCATCTTTCCACTTGCCCTCGTAGCTCTTCCATTTGCGGTAAGTTTTGAAAAAATTCATCTATGCTAAAGGAAGAACATACCTGATAAATATTGACCGAACTTGATACCTGTTGTGCTTCTGAAAATACTATGTATTCCAATCATCCTTCTCTTGCTATAATTTGAATGCATTCATCCATCCATCTGTAAGTTCATCCCTGCTCAATCCACCATTTGCTCTGTATTTACCTGAATTGTACCACTGGTAAAAATGAATATTAATATAGATGTCAATTTAACTGTCTATTTATCCACAGTTTATCTAAATTTATTTTAATTAATTATTTTTAGTGTAACTGTTGTTGTATTTGTTCTTATCATATTTTATATATATTGCATTTTATATTATTGTATTTGAATGTTATATTGCTGTAAGTTTTTTATTGGATGTGAAATAAATTGAACTTGAAACTTAAATTTATTTGTCCATCTGTGCTTTCTTATTCTTATTTTTCTATTTTCACACAATTCAAACTTAGTTCAAGATTTAGATGAAAATATTTCATATTTTTCTGTTCACCTTCCTAGATGTTTGTGAACTGGGTATCCAACAGCACTGTGGTAGGAAACAAGAAAGCGATTCCTATCTATCTCACTCTCTCCTCCTTCTACATCTGGTGTCTCATCTTCTTCACAAGACCGCACAAGGTATGTTGCTCATTCCCAGTGGCGTAGCCAGGGGAGGGCACATGCCCCTACCCTAATGAAATGGCAAAAAAATATATGAAAAAATAAAACAAACATGTTTTAAAGCTTATCTGTACTAGTTTATAGGAGAATTAGCGCACCCTGCAAGGTCACTGCACTGGTGGTTATCTCAACAACTCAGCTCTCAAATAACATAAGAAAAAGAGGATCATGGGGGACCAATGGTCACCGATTAGGCATTGTTTTCTATATAGAGGGAGCAAGTAGCAACAAGTAGGACAGTGATGCTTTAAGTATCCAAACCAGGTCAAAATGCTAGCTCCAGTGCCATTTGTTCTGGCGTCATTCGCTCTAGCATCATTGGCTCTGGTACTATGATTAGGTCCATCATCATTTGCTCTGGACTGTGTAAGTTTGAGGGCTTTGATTGCAAATGCAAAAGGTTTACATGTAGATTTTCATTTACCTAGTGTTGGGTCAATGAAGTTTGGAATTTAGCCTATAGAATGATAGAAATTGATTGTTTACTCTAGGAAGGGTAGCTGGAACATGCATTGTACAATCGATTAGGGACATAATTAAAATAAATGTTAAAGCCCGTCGACACTAGTTTGGCAAGGGGGATTAGACCTCCCTGCAAGGTTACTGACAGGTGGTTATGTCATCAAATCAGCTCTCTATTAACATACGAAAAAGGGGATCATGAGGGAACAACAGGCACCGATTAGGCATTGTTTGCTATATAGAGGGTGCAAGTACAGTAGCTCTAAGAAGTGCAGTGGGGCTTTAAATGAAAGTAGTACAAGTAGTTTGTAATCACAGAACATTTATTATTCCAAGGCTAAAGGAAAGATTTGATCGGCTCTTTCTTTCCATCCAGGAGGAGCGCTTTCTCTTTCCAATCTACCCTCTGGTATGCCTTGGAGGGGGTGTGTCTCTCTCAGCTTGCCAGGTATGTATTAACACTATTTTTTTAGTGACTTAATTATATTAATAATAAAGAAACAGGTTCCCTTGCATAATTTGAATATTAGGACACTGCTAACGTTAATATTTCACAGATAGGACGTACATTACATATTCATAATTCCTGCAAAGTTCTACAGAATTTGATGTGGGCTGCAAAAGGGACATATGGTAGTATCTTTAAGATGTCCAAAAAGGACAGTCCTGAGGAAAATCCAACCTTGTAGCAAGTTGCTATGAAGAGAAGCAAAAGAATAAAAAGAAATTGATCAATTGGTGAAAACAGTGCTCCACTCTTACTTTTTTCCCAGGTTCTGGACTGATATTTTTAGGGTTTGTTTGCTTACCCCCCCCCCCTTATGTTTTTATTTCAACTTTCTTAGGGTGGGGTGTTCTAATTTGGAGGCTCATGTACAACAGACTCATGTTTAATAGTGATGAGCCCTGTTGAAATTTGAGGGAAACCATATAAACTTTACGAAGTTGGGAATTATTTAAATTTGTCATCTCTCTACAACCTTCATCTTACATGTATATCTCTCTTCCCTTTTTGTTCTTTCCCAGAAATTATATCATTGGCTGTTTACCTTCAAAATACCTCAACATTATACCTACTCTTCCAACCATCTCGCCATAGCTTTTACTTTTCTCTTTGGTACATTATCTTTAATGAGATCAGGGCTGCTCTTTTATGGTAAGTTGAAAGATATGTCACTGTGCTATCCAGTACAATACATGTACATGTACCTGAATTTTCCCATTATCTAGCCATAGTTTTTTCTAAGTTTATAACTTTGTCAATATTATATCATCTTTAATGCGGTAATGACTGCTCGTTTCTTGTTAATAGTTGGAAAATGTATCATGTTAAATCCAGCTTTCTGATCAGATTTCCCAAAAGACAACACTGCCTATATCATCAGGCTACATCAAATTACATTATTGCATTGTACTTGTAGCCAGTTACTTTAAAATGTATTGATATTGTGATTCATTGTTTACTCAATAATTTGTAATGCATCCTATGTTGAAGTTAAAGTTGAAGTTTCAAGTTTATTTGTCTACTTTATCCAAAATAATATAATTGAACATGATATACATGGTACAACTAATCATACAATTAAGGAACATAGTGTACATGGTAATAGTTATGATGAAAGATACAATCATAAGTATGATAAATACATTGAAAAAGCGAAAACAATTGGGTATCTACTAAAAAGCAAAGCTTGTATTATTTAGGTCCCAGTTAATGATTATGTATACAAATTAGGATATCATCAACATTCAATGATCATAGACACTGTTGATATGCATGTACCCACTTTGATGTAGCAAAGGTTCCCTGTTGGGAGTGCATTGTGATCAGAGCCATCTATACACAAACACCCGGTTCGAGTTGAACACAACATGGCGATTACTGCTTTGTTGGGCAAGCACAAAACAAAAGAATATACGCCATGTTGTGACCCAGTGAAACCAAGTTGGCCAAACACTGTGTATAGATGGCTCTGATTGTGATGATACACACAAATGATGTCCTTATCTTCTTGCATTTCAATATTTTTACTCCAGCCTACCATGCTCCTCTTGATTTGTACCCTGAGTTGAAAACTATTGCCAACAACCCCAACATCCACACCCTCCCACCGGATAAATTAGTAAATGTCTGCGTGGGCAAGGAGTGGTATCGCTTTCCAAGTAGCTTCTTCCTACCAGACAAGTAAGCAGTCTACAATTGATGATGATGATGATGATGAAGATGATGATGACGATGATGATGGTGGTGGTGATGATGGTGGTGGTGATGATGAAGAGGTGGTGATAGCGATGATGATGGTGATGATAATTATGGTGGTGATGATGTTGATGGTGATGATAATGATAATGATGATGAAGATGAAGACATTGGTGGTGATGATAATGATGGTGGTAGTGGTGATGATGATATTTATGATAATGATAGTGATGATGATGATGATATAGTGTTGATGGTGATGATATAGTGATGATGATGATGATGATATTTATGATGGTGATGATGATAATGATGTTATTCATCCACCATTAAAGGACCAGGACCTGTCAATCAATTACAGTGTAACATGTGTACAATCAATGCTGTTTCCAAGTTGAGCTCAACTTTAATAATATTAATAATAATAATAAAAATAATAATAATAATGTTACTTATAAAGCGCTTACCACCGAAGTCTCTAAGCGCTAAATAGAAAGCTTCCATTAATGATGTACAAAATGTATTTTTTTGCAATTTTAAAGAAAAATATATGCCATAAATCTATTCACAGCTTATACAATTGTATACATGTACATGTAGTTCTGCCCAGCAAGAATATGTTTTGTTTCTTTTATTTCAGTTGGAGGTTACAGTTCATAGAGTCAGAGTTCAGAGGTCAACTGCCCAAGCCTTTTGATGAATCTGATCCTGATGCTACCACAATGATACCATCTCATATGAATGATAAGAACCAAGAAGAGATCTCAAGATACGTGAGTTTTAAAGCCCCACTGTACTGCTTGTAGCTACTTGCTCCCTCTATATAGAAAACTTCCCCAATCGGTGCCTGTTGGTTCCCCATGATCCTCTATTTTTTATGTTATTTGAGAGCTGAGTTGATGAGATAGCCACCTGTCAGTGACCATGCTGTGTGGTCTAATATCTTCTGGCCAACTAGTATAGATGAGCTTTAAAGTCTTCCATTTCTGTTTTACCAAAAGATTTTCGGTTGTACTCCTACTTTTAGAGGTAGCTACCCAAGCTGTATAGAAATTTTAAAAAATGGATAATTATGTAAAATTTATGATTTGATTTTGTTGAATTTTATTCATTTTTTCCTTTCCCCCTTGCTGTTAAGAGAATTCTGTATTGGATGATCAGAAGATAAGTATTCATAGGATGAAGTAACAGAAAGTATCTTGCTGTAATAGGAGAAATGACTATTGTAGGGTGATAGAAAAAGCATTGAAACACATGTAGTAACAAAAGTTTTGTGGGCTTTCTAGATGTAGATTTGGTCATAGTTATTTTCTGCAGATAGGTGTATACTGAATTTGAATATTCTGACGTGTGCATGTATGTGTAACTCCAAGTAGATAGTGGTGGTTATTTTACCTGACAGCTAAGAAAGCAATTAATACTTGTTAGTAAGCAACCACAGGACCGACAGCTTAAGGTCCTCTTTGAGGGACCTGGTAACGAGGATTAATGCCTTACCAAAGGGCACTAGCGCATCGACTTGGTTTTGAACCCAGTTCACCGGATAACAAGACCACTGCTCTACCAACTGAGCTATCGTGCCTCATCTGTGTTGTACATGTAACTCCCCTTTTATTGTAACTTTATTCTCAAATTAAAACTAAAACTCTTTCTTGTTTCCTAGATTGACATTTCAAAATGCCATTACCTGGTAGATCTAGACATGCCTGTAGAGACTGCGAGAGAACCAAGATACGCTAATAGGACGGATGAATGGCAGGTTGTAGCTTCTCAACGATTCATGGATGCTGCCACGTAAGTTCACTCATCTCTCTCATCCCAAATTTTTCTTAGATTACATGACACTCTCTTCTGCAAAATTTTCTCTAGGCTTTATTTTGTCAAATATAAGAGGGTTTGGGTCTGCAATTTGGATTTATGGTAGATTTATGGTTCAGGTGAGGTTCGGGTTCGGTCGAGGGTTGATTTTAGGAATTTTTTCAGTGTAGGAACTTGACCACAGAGCCTTTGATGCTGGAGCATGTGTCGTACATGGAGAATTGTTTTTTCTTTCTCATCGATATCTTTCCTTTCAACTTCTTTCCACTTTCCTTTCCTTTTCTCCTGTTCTGTTTCTTTAGTGTATATTTCATTCTTCTCCCTTCAATTTGAATTTAGATTGACTTTCTAGAATTAAGCCTTGCATAAACTGTAAAGTACACACAGAAGTTGAATATTACAAGTGTGCTCTGTCAAAGTACTAGATTTTTTTTACCTCCACAGTTGACTGATGACATCATAATTGTGATTTATAGAAATTAAATGTTGCTATATTCCATAAGATACATTCCCAAATGGGCAGAACTATGTGAATAGGTTTCAGGTTTTTTTTAAATATTAGATAACAAAATGTTACATGTTTAAACAATAAATCTCAGTCCCCTAATTCAAGTGTACTAAATAATCATTTTAATTTTTTTAATTCCTTTTTAAAAATCTTTTCCTGCGTGAAGTAGCTCCTATAAGTGGTGTCGGTCCTTCTACGTTCCTCTCTGCACCAGACGCTACACCTACTTTAGACATTACAACATCCTAAAGACAAAGAGGAGAAAGAACGCCCCCAAGCAGGGCAAGAAGAGGAAGCAACCTCCAACCAAATCAAAGAAGAGTAGCCATGACGATGAACTTTGACCTGAAATCAGAAATTTGTGTTTTAAAAGCTCATTTTCATGTGATGCTGGAAACCATTGTGGTATTTTTTTTTATTGATGTGTAGCAATAGTGATCATGATATTTTATTTCAAATGATCAAATCGAGGGGTCAGTGACACAGAGACGTAACTCCATTTTGAGAAAAAGTGGTTTAAAGATAGAGGTCCACTGGGGCCTTAGGGAGTTAATTCTATGTTTCACTAGCCTTTGACTTCAATGGGGTGTTGGGTTGAGTTAAGTCTTTGTGTTATCTGGAAAGCCCACATTTTTCTGAACATTTTGATGTCAAATACTCATTTTGGCAAAATATGGGGTTACGTCTTTTGTCACTGAACCCTCGAAATGATGTAAAATCTCATTGAAGGATTTTGGATATTATTACTCTGGCTGTAGCTCCATCAACCATAGTGCTTGGTGCATTCAAGGAATGAATCCTACCAGGTACCCGCTTATTACATCTGGGTCGAGTGTGGCAGGGATTTGAACCTTGAGATCTATTTCTGGTGAATTAACCACTAGACCACAACACCTCATGTAGATGAATGGCGCGTGAGCATGAAAACAAGTAGCTGGTGCTTAACAAAGGACTGGTGCTTAAAAAAGGTCCTACGATGTATGCATGCTTATTATCTGTGTGTTATATGGATTCAGAAATTTGAAACCCTTTTTAATAGGCTTTTTTTTTAAAAAGGAAAAAAATTGACGCAGTTAACTACAGTGGTTGACCACTTCATATTATGAAGGAGCCTTTAATACTAGGAAATATTTTATGTGAACAAATAACGATATGTAATTTTTAAGTAAAAAACACATGCTGACTCTGTGATAAAGCAATATTTTGTATGAATACATTTGAAATGTAAAGAAAGCTTGGTGAGAAAAAAAAAAAGTTGTATGATGGGGTTACGGTGTTTTTGTATTGATAAGAAAAGTATTTCTGTGTGCAAATAATGTAATTTGGCATAGACATTTGAAAAGTTCTGAACACAGTGAATATTAAAGTGAAGGTATGAGGTCGGTATGGGTTTAGAGGTTAAGTTTAGTTTTAGGGATAGGTAGTAATGGTCTGGGGTTAAAGTTAGGAATTTATTCACACCAAAAAGATCATCCCCAGACTGACAATAGAAAAATAAAACAAAATATCGGTCTGGAGTCAGTGAGGTAATGTGACTGAGCTATCAGTGTTCGTAATTAAAATGGACCTGCGAATAGTTGTTGCCAGAGCATGTGTCACATGGTTTTTAATGGACACCATTATCAAACATCTCATTTCCTTCATTACCTAAATTTCCTAAATTACAATTAGTGTAATTTGAGAACCTCTTCCAATGAATGGAAGGGCTTTCTTTTACTCACTTTGCATGTAATGTAATGTATGAGATTCCTGTCTCAATTGGAGAAAAGAAATCACAATTTTAGCATCAGAGATACAATCAAATTTTATTTTTTCATCTCAAGTGCCCGAATGGCACAATATTTTTGCAGGGTATGCTCACATTGTGGTGTAACATGCAATGTTGATATACAGATTCTGAGAATCGTGTTTAATGTTTTTTTGTGTGGTGGAGTCACGTTTTGCAAAGCAATTAGCAAATATTTCTGCAGGTCCGCTTGCCCTAGTAACTCTGATGAGCTGTTAGCAAGCAACATGTATTGAATCCACCCAGTAGGGCAAGCAAAGTATGTATACCTATACATATTGCCTGTTGAGAGCCAGAAGGGTGTTTACTCTGTGTTAAAGTAGAGTTAGAATAGGAGTTAGTGCCCTGCTGGCCCTAAACAGCCGTCTAAAACATCAAAAGGCAATCAAATCACAGTGCTCTATTGGTGTTTTTTTTTGTAACCCAGTACAAAGTTCAAGTTATGAAATCTTGCGTGCTAGGGAAAGAAGTGGCTTAATTTAACTGCAGTAGAGTTAGAGTTAGGATTAGGGTTACAATCCAGTTTAGGTCCTAGGGTTATGGTTTAGAGTTAGGGTGAGGGTTAGAGTGAGAGTTGGGTTAGTTAAGGTTACTTGTGTAGTTGGGTATTCTGCACTTACATGTAAATGTTTGTTTTACCCGACTGCTAAGAAAGCATAAGTATATACTTGCATTAGCAACCAGAGGACTGATGGCTTTAAGTCCTCTCCACCCATGTTTGTAAACAGTAATCAGTTTTAATGTGTCAAAAGAGATTGTATATTTTACAATTGTTAATTGGAATGACAGTGTTGTAAATGATTGATACTACTTTGTTTGAAAGGAAATGCACTGAATGAAAAGTTTGAAATATAAAGAAAATGTGGAAAAATTACTTCAATTTCAGTGTGGCATTCTGTGTATATAAGTTAGTGAGTTAAAGGTAATACAAAGTTTTGGGATGGGGTCATGAATTTGGTTGAAATGAACATATTGGAAGCATATGTGATCCTACAACATTCAGGGATCATTGTTGCGGTTGAAATCAAGTCTAAAGTTATGAAATTGTAAATAATAAAAGTCTTTATGTTATTTAGCTCCCTCTCAAGGTCAAGATATTAATTAGGCTATAAAACAATGTTTCTTGACTAAATCGACCAATCAGCTATTCCTGTTTGGAAATTATATATCACAACTACATATTCTGAGATTTTCATGGTCACAGCTACCATTGTACGGCCGGAGGCGCTATTTGAAATTTATCAAAATTTACCGGGAGCACCGGTAAATTTTTATATTCAATTTTTCTCGAAAGGAGAAGTGTTTTAGGGGCTAAATTTTCATGTGCTTATAATACATCTACAGGGGCATCCAAATAGTATATCAAAATTGTAAAGAATCACTTCCACCCAATTTTCAAATTTCCCAAAACTTTGTATTACCTTTAAGAACCAGTCCAAGAGCAAGAAAGAGAGATGCGAGAAGAATGAAAGTAGCCAAACAAGTTGAGAGAATCGCAAAAAGGTTTTTAATAGAGGCTGAAAGGTTAAAAGCCTATTATTCCTTCTTTTTTACATACGCTCTTTAAGAAGGATGTTGAGCTAGTAATTTTCTTTCAAAGTTCCCATCATGTAAAATAATATTGCTGTTTCGTGCCGATTTGACTTTACTCCATATATCCTCCCTCCCTGCCTGTCTGTTGCTCTCCCTTCTCCTCCTCTCTCTCTATCTTTTACCTGTCTCTCTTGTACGTGTAGCTTTTTCCAAGCTTCATTCTGTCACATTGCTTGCTTTCCTACATGTACAGGGGGGTGTTTCACAAAGATCCTAAGTCAGACTTAAAAATTATGGAAAGCCATTTGTAGCCTTAATATTAAAGGTAAAGACCAGTTATGGTCATGCGATTGCATTGTGAAAGAAACGATGTGGAATCGATCATAAAAGGTTGATCATCTAGCATCTAGCATCTGCAAGGTTCTGGAATCATCAAAATGATAAGAAATTTGGCCCATTCTTCGTAAAGTTACAAGCACTATACACAGAAAGATGTATATGGGACTACCCTATATCTCTCACAGACCATGAGAGAAACAAATTTACCAAATATATTAATTAGTAGGCGGTTTCCCGGCAATTTTTTTATCATCATGTATTAGTCAAAACATATTCTTTCACATGATTGGTAATGAGAGCTTCCATTTCATTTTTTGAAATTGGGGCGTTTCCAATACTGGTCTTTACCTTTAAATATTTCCAAAAGCAAAAATTCAAGTATTTTAGACTTTTCATAAATTCAACGACAAGAACATGAAATCTCCTTGATTTTCTCAAAGATGCTAACGGCTTTCCATAATTGTTAAGTCCAACTTCGAGTTAAGTTCGACTTACGATCTTTGTGAAACACCCCCTGGTACAATGTATTTATTTCCTATTCGTATCGTGCTTTCATCACACTTGTATTGACTTCCACTTTCATTCTCTCTTTTCCAATCGCCATATTCTTTTCTAAATCAATCTATCTTCCCATTTCTCTTTTGAATTCATTTTATTGCTTTTACTCCATCTTAATTCTCTCTTATTTCACCCTCACCCTGGTCTTGCTTTATCTTCTCACATTCTCTCTCTTTCTCTTTCTCTTTCTTACTCTTGCCTTTTCTCTATATCCTACAATATTTCATTTCCACATTCCTTTGATTGGCTCCACCACACACTTTGTTTCATTAAAATAAAAAAAACACACCCTCACACACACAACAACAAAATCTCTTGGCTGCTGTTCAACAATTTATTGATTTTATCGTGCATTCCCTTTGCCTTTTAAAGGAAACACAAAGAAATAATACAAAAACAAACAAAACATTCTATGACATTTTGAGACAAAAGCATGGCCAGAAGATATCTCCAAAAGAGTTGAGTATTACATTTTGAAATTGGGGTACCCTGCTCATTAATGTCAATAACAAATTCTACTTAAATATCTATGATTTTCATATAAACTTACTGCTAAACGAGCATTTACACGTAATTCATATCCATAGACCAAGCCTTAATAAACCCACTTAAACAAAATGTTCAAATTAGTTGCTTATTCTACATTGTAGATTAATGTACCCAATCATATAATGATGTACATAGTTACAAATAAATTTAAGTTATCTCAATTCATATTACTGACACTTATTCTGTTTATGAAAATCTCTACACTTTTCTGTTGAAATGTAACATAGTTGATAAGTACATGTAGTAACTCAGAGTATACTATTCATTATTTTTGTTTCCTTTTATTCTCTCGTAAAAGCAAGGAAAATTTCAAATCTGGTTATTCTCACTGAAATGAATATCCCACACAGAAATTGCTTTTTCTATAAATCTATGGCACTCCTGTCCTTAAAAACAGAGAGAAAAGGGGAGAGATTGGGGGGAGAGAGAGAGAGAGAGAGAGAAAGAGAGAGAAGAAGGAACAGACTACATCAAATACATTTTATAGCAATCCAAGCAGACTGTAAACGATTAATTTGCTCGGTATTATTAATTCACTCAAATGATATCAAATGATCTGTGAATTGACAAAACATCAGCCGACAAGGATTACAGGGGTCAGATAGTGTTCCAATCCAAAGAATCAAGCGTTTGTTTTGAGATACTTTGCTAGCAGGTGGATAAGCAGCAGCAGTCAAAGAAATATGTATACTTTTTGTACTCTACATGTCAACAAAAGAGAGCAGTTCATGAAACCACAAATCCTCATTGATTCTGTGACTTGGGATGTATCTCAGATAGAGTTAACACTGGCTTTTAAGGTAGATAATTTCATATTCAAAGCTCCTAATATAGAGTCAATTACATTTGTGGCTTGTGGTATATGTTAACCAGACAAAGAATTTAAAGAAAATATTATGCAACTCGGGGGAGAAATTGAGGGAGAGATAGTAGTCGCCATAGCTGTATATAGGTATTAGGGTTTACTACGTGTACATCATTGTATTCTACTTATTTTTCTATTCAATTAAATTTGATTTATCCTAATTAATGTATCATTCATCAATCAAACAATTTTCATATCATTCTCAGATTGTTGATTGAGTTTCCCTACACATTGATACAGAGCAGTCATGAAATCATACACATACAGTATGTAAAACGATTATGTGAGTCACATCCAAGGAATTTGTTCACAAATGGTGGGACTGACGATCTGTTCAGGTATTTATTCGTCGGTCCATTCAAAAGGTTCAGGGGCCTCTGGCTCCTCCTCTTCTTCTGCCTTCTTTGGTCCACCAGCTACGGATGAAAAAGATAAAGGAAAGGAAGTTAAGTCCAATATGAAAAGAAGAAAAAACAGCAAAAAAACAAATACAAAACAAACAACAAACAAGGGAAACGCTCTCGGCGGTCTCGCCTGCATTACGCAATTCGATATGATGAAAAATTGAGGTATCGACATTACTTATAGGCAGGGTGGACCATTAGCAGAAAGAAAGAAAGAAAGATAAAGACAGAGCGTAATTCTCTGTCATATATGTCAAAACTAAGGTTTGAATCTACTCTTGGTTGAGTATGAGAGATCTTGACAATCATTACAGGTAACTTATATGCTGAAAGCCAGAACAGCATTACCTGTCTATAAGATGACATCAGTAAACACCCTTTTAAATCATGGCAAACACTGTGTCTGGTGTAGATGAATTTCCAAAGTATTCATATTATAGCATAGTATATTTAAATTTCATACCCAAGACAAAGGAGAGTTGTTAACACTGCACCTTCACAAATCAGAATTTCATGTCCTCACTGTTCCATTCTCTACCCACAGTAAAGGAATCATGTATTTATTTCTGTAGCCATTCTATTTTCAACCAAAAAGGTAAGGGGGGGGGGATATTCCCGTCAATGTCATGCACGACTGTGAGTCATGACATGAGATTCCATTCTCTACCCAAAGTGAAGGAATTGTGTATTTATATCTGTGGCCATTCTACTTCCAACCCATAAGGTAAGGGGGTGGGGGGAGGTTTTTCCTGTCAAATGTCCTGGGACCCGTTTCACAAAGCCTTTTTTCAATGACAAATGACAAAAATCAGTGACAAATCTGTTGATGACCAATCAGAAGCAAGGATTTCAGTAGCTTATAACAAAAACTGTCATTTGTCACTGATGACAAGTTTTGTGAAACACCCCCCTGATGTCTGTGAGTCATTACACGAGACTTACCAGCGACATCCTTGACAATCATCTTCGGCTCTGTGTTCTTGAGATCCTTCACCATCAGAATACCACCAATGGATGTCTGTAATAATTAACAATATTTAAAAAAAAAGAGTAACTGTTACATGTAATCCGTTCCCAAATCAATCCATAGGAGACACAAGCGTCAGCACACATTCCCCTATGTGCTACCAGTGATCCCAAATGCTTACATTTTACAAATTACCATTCAAATATTGAACTGATGGGCAAATAAAGTGTCACCATGACACAAATGCAGTTTGACATCATGCTTCAGGCAATAATATGACAATAACTTTTGAAGTATTTGATAGCAGCAGCTTGAAGTATTACGTAAATTAAGTCATACCTCTGGATATAACGGCGTTATATTGAGAGGTATCACGTCATGTTGGAAAATATAACGCTTCTCATCCTTGTAGCGATGGTCATGTGACAGCATTTTGACCAATTACACATCAGTATCTATATAGGAAATTTAATATTTTCAATTATTTTTGTCCTATAATCAAGTTTATAATTTGGCTGATAGTTTTCTAATATCTCACAATTATATTTTCCTTTTGCTCATTTTGCATCTACATGTACTTTTCGTCCTCTCGATATAAACTGCACTACTTACCGACTTGATGGGTTTGTATCTGCACTCCGCGGGGATGGACAACACCTTAAGCTGGGCCGACATGACGCGGGCGGGATTCCCTAGCATCTCAAACAACGGTTCTGGCTCCTTCTTCTCCTTCCCTTTCTCTTTCACCTTCTCCTCTCCATCCTTCCCCTTTTCTCCATCTTTCCCCTTCTCTCCTTCCTTGGTCTTCTCTCCATCCTTGGTTTTTTCATCCTTGACCTTTTCATCCTTGACCTTTTCCTCTTTGACCTTGGGGTCAGGGGTCTCCTTGGTGTCCATCTTGACCTCTTTCTTATCGTCGTCCTTGACGCTTTCTGCATCATCCTGCAGATGGGCAATTTTTATTATTATTATTTATTATTGTTTAGTAGGCCAATCATAAAAGCACAATATAATTACATTTTGACAGATTATGCAATACATAAACGATACAAGAGGAAAAGGGAGGGAGCAACGTGTGGGCCAGGGCTCACAAAAGTGAAATTCAACACTATTACCCGGAGGCATGTGAGCAATGAAAATAAGTATGCAATTGCAAAGAAGCATGTCAAAATAGTATTTCTGGTCTTTATGCCTAATACTTAAAAACGATCGAGACAAAAGTATACAAATTTTCATCAATCATGCACATAATTTGATTTCATCTGCAGCAGAGCCCAATTCATGTTCGGCCCGAAATAGAAATATGTTGGTGATCTGGCAGCAGGGTGGAACTTGGTGCTTCATCAATTAGTGTTTACACCTGTTCCTAAACACAATACACTTTCACTCATATAAATACAGGTCTAGGATGCCTTTCTAATTCCATTCTTGGAATGACATTGTCATTTATCACAGGGTACCGTAATTAACGTTGTATAAACCGCCCTCGTGTATTAACTGCACCCCTCTTTTTCGCCCTCAAAAAAAAATAAAAAATTGCCGACTCTGTCGGCAGCAAGCCAGGTCCGTTTAAAAAAAACCCATGCGGGAAGGCCTTTCATTTAACTGTGAGGTGCAGTTGAATGTGTAAGATCATAAATGTAAATAAAAAAACAGGGGAGGACCTAGGTTAGAACCTTGTGGTACGCCGTGCCCGTATGTAATAGAAGAAAAATTGGAGGAATTATTATTATAAACTACATATTGAAATCTATCAGAAAGATTACTTTCAAACCAAGATGACAGACGAATTTGAGTGTTGTTTTAGTTTCCGAGTGGTGAGTCAACACACCGATTACTGAGCTGGGAGACATTGCCAGGCACAGTGCCAGGTGGAGGGGCATGAATCGAAACTTTAATCTTTTTGTTTTTTGTACCTGTTTATAAGACGCAACCCCCACTTTGAATTTTTTTCGGCGGCAAAATAATGCGGTTAATTACGGTAAACTGTATTATTTTAATCCTCTTACCACGACCATCTTCTCCTCTGCGTCTTTCTTCTCTCTCTTCTTGGCCTTGGCGGTGATGGAGAGCACGGCGGTAGCTACCTTCTCCTTTTCCTTCTCCTTGGGCACCTCCAGAGGGGGTGGGTACGCATAGTGGGACGGCTTGGCGCTCGATTTGAACTCCATCACCGGCATCTGATTGGTGGATGAGGATATGAGTGTAAGGGGCAAGAAAACAGACTTTACAACGTGCCCTGGCCGATAGAGTACAGGGGGGCTTTTTACAAAACTTGGCATCAGTGAGAAATGACAATTTTTGTTATAAGCTACTGAAATCCTTGCTTCTGATTGGTTATCAGCAGATTTGTCACTGATTTCTCTTACTTGTCATTGAAAAAAGGCTTTGTGAAACGGGTCCCAGGACCTAATCACCCCAAAATTGTTATTATTTTCGATTCAATCTAATGACTAACTGTAAAGAAAGATCATTTGTTTAAATGGGTCATTCCATAAAGTTGGGGCAAAAAATATGACGGTGTCCATGTAACATTGGTATGAGATCTTCTACTACACATGGATCATGAAATTAACTGTTGAAGATTTGTATGCAATGAATATATAGTAAGACCGTGCCAGAATCGTTCCAAAATCTTTGCTTAATACACATTTCTCTTTTTAACAGCGTTACATGGACACCATATGCATATAACATTACATAACTTTGGGTCCACAATATTGATTCACCATGAAGCTTGAGTACTTTTGAAGATAGTTGGCTATGCTTTTTATGGTTCTGGGAAACGTTTCACAAAGCCCCTTTTTTCAATGACAAATGACAAAACTTAATTTGAGCAAACATTGTTACAGTTGATAAGAGACATAGTTTCTCATTTCTGGTTTGTCACAAAAACTGCCCCAACTTCATGGAATGACCCTATTAGAACCACAATTTTTGTTTCTCTTTCAAGGTGCTTCTCAATGAAAAGTGCATTAAAGAAACCTTTGCAAAAAGACCACCTGCCCTTAATGGATGTCTTGTGTTGTTTCCTTTGAGAAGCATTTATTATTGCTTTGTATTTAAACCCAAATATTGCATCAACTAGTTGTTTACTTGCAAACTTGGTGCACTGGATTTTTAAAGCAGCTTGTCATGTCATGACTGAAAAGGGGTTTAAAGGTAAAGATTAGTTCTGGGACCCGTTTCACATAGCCTTTTTTAACTTTAACCTCTGCAAAACAAGAATTGAGTTAACGTACCTCAAGATCGGAGTCGAGAGCGATGACAGCGGTGGAGGTGAATGCCAAGGAGAGGAAATGGGCCAGAGGGAACCAGTACCAGAAGTGAAGGAACACCAGCATACCAACCACCGAGGTCAGATGGGTGTGGCCGGTCCTGGACTGCAGACAGATCGTCACATTGCGACCACCTATGGGTAGGGAAGGGAAAGGTGAGAGAAAGAGGTAGGGAATTGTTATTCCTGGCTCATTTTTCCTGATTGAGGTGTCATATGAAAGGGCAGAAAATGAACTTTCTAGAAATGTGATTTTCTCTTTGAAATTCAGATACCGCCCTTAAAATGACTTTTTGGTTTCCTCTCTTCAAATTATTTTTTAATCACTCATGTGTGAAATATGCCTCATATGAGTTGCATCAAATGAAAGAGGAGGATCTAAGCTTTACAAATATGTGTCATTTATGAATTACAATTTTGATTAAGTAATGATAAATGATTGATAATACTTGGTTTTGCTTTTTTCTGGGACGCACTGTATATATATATATATATATATTTTTTTTTTTTTTGGATGGGGAGGTCTTAAAGTTTATTACTGATATCTCTATTATATGTACGTAACTTGGCATTCCAACTAAGTTATACCCATAATAAAATGGAATATCCAAAGCTCCTCCAATGTTATCATAATCTAACTACCAGTAATTAAAGACCAATCCATTATTGATATGAGGGGTATTCATACCTGCATCCATGATTCCTTGCGCTATGATAGCTCCATACTTGGCCATTAGATCTTCATGCTTGTCACCGATCGTCTTGCTGTACATACTGCGGAAGTGAGCCATCTAAACAATCAGAAAAACAAAAGAAGACAATGTTACAGATGCTGTGCTTCAAATCAGCAGGCCTTTCCTTTAGATTTTAAACAGCAATTAATGGGGATTAGATCCAAACTTTTTCAAAATCTGGACCTGATAATGTTGGTCAATGAATGTCTTGCTATGCATAATGTGGACAGGATCCATCTGCAAAAAAAAAGAAGAAGAAGAAGAAAAATTAGAAGCTAAGTTTAGAAATGGTGTGACTGTGATGCATGAAAGGAGGCAAGAGATAAAAAGTTAGAGACCTGACTTTGGGAGTTTCTAAAAGGCAATGCCTCACATTTGCTTCAACCAGACTTGAGAGAATTCTAAATTAATAAGTGTAAAATCTTGAACAAACACAATAAAATTCTAAGTTTACAGAAATCAATCATCACTAAACTGTGTTCCTTAAAGAGGGAGCATAATGGTGTTGTATGCACTTCTTACAAAATAAATTACACATCAAACATAAAAGACCCCTTTTCCATACCATTATTGAGATTAGTACACACCTGTACCTGTAAATCGGGAGTGCCAGGAGTGTCAAGTCTGACGGACATGAGCACTATACAAGAACCAACTATTATTATTATTATTACCGTTTTTTTAGGTATACAATGTACATAACATCCTATCTGGAGTGTGATCTCCCTTTAACCAAATGCCATAAAGGGTTCTTAACTTTAACCAAAAGGAAATTGGAAGGAAATAAAATGTTGATATATGACAAGCAATTACGAACTCAACATTTCCAAACGCTAACCTTTTTTTTAACAGAATGAAAGGAGATTATCAACGAATCATGTAGGGCACAATGCATTGATGGTGATTAGAGTGTTAATAGCCAGGGGGTGTACACCTGCGTCTAAGCCTGGATTATGATAATCGATGCACACACCCAGCCCAAGGTGATCAATGTGAAAATATTCACTGGAGAAGTGAAAAAACAGAGCTCGGGAAAGTTTTGAAGGAGCGCTTGTAAAGTAAAAGATAGCTTAGATTAAAATACAAAATTACTGTATAGATAAAATACAAGGAAATCTCACTTTTCCACTGTAAGACATAGAAGAGTGCCCTCCCTCCCTCCCTCCCTCCTCCCCTCCCCTCCCCTCCCTTACCCTCCCCTCCCCTCCCCTCCCCTCCCCTCCCCTCCCCTCCCCTCCCCTCCCCCTCCCTCTCGTTTAAACAGGACTGTATTTCCTATAGAAAGGAGGGTGAAAGCTGTTTTCTGCCCTAGAATCTAGAATAAACCGGTTCTCAAACAAATGCGTTGGTGACAATTGCTTCATGGTCAATTTCCTACACTAACCAAGTAACTATGGAAGAACATAAAAAATAACCCCATCAAACAAGTAGCCTTATACATGTATACCTCTAAACCCCCGGCCCCCCCACTCAGGGGTCAGAATGACCGCATGCGTGTTACCAAAATGTCCGGTAAAGGGGTAATTTTCTTGCGACAAAGTCCGGCCCGAGAATTGTAAAAAAAGGGGTGTATTTGACTTTTCACCCAGAGATTTCTTTAAAAAGGGTTTGTTTTTTTTTTTCTCTCATCTCTTTGGACTCCTGAGAAATTATTCCGAATTTAGGGGGGTACATTGAGCATTTTTCCTGATTTAGGGGGGTCTCCAAGGCAGGAAAAGCCTGCGAAAAGCCTGCGAAAGGGGGGGGGGGTCGAAAATGTTGGCAGTCCTCAGATAGGGGGTGCTTTCAAAAAGAGGGAACGAGCATATGCGTACCCTAAATAACACTGAGTGGGGGGGGGGGGGGGCCGGGTCTAAACCTAACCCTAATACTAGCCCAAACCCTGAGCCAAACCCTAAAAAATTAACATCGCAAATATACACACACAGTGTGGTATTCTGATGTTAAGTAGTTCACAACATGAACTACATACAGGAGCAGCATAAACCGGTCGTTAACAATTTCATAATTGAGAGAAACTCTGTAGTTGCAAATGTAGATCAAGCTAAGCACCTAGTCCAGGGGATCAGGTGAAAATGATAATTACACTATAGTGTTGTTAATTTGAAGGTAAATCATTAATATTCATTGTAGGGCAAGCACGTTTGAAATAAACTAGGTTAAGTAGTAAGAAGAGTCTCAAATGGGACAGTTCCTTGTTTCCTTGCTTGTGTTGCGTTGATGGAACAAATGATCTGATTGGCTGTGGCTTGTGGATTAGGTACTGTTTTGTGCTAATGTTAAAAAGCGCTGTGATTGGATAATTTTCTTGAGTTAATTGATAAAATTATTTAAGTTTTTCTGTTTTTTTCTCCAAATAATGTGCAAGTTTTTGAGCTCGAAGACTTTGAACTTGGGGCTAATTTGACATATCATTCCTTGCACATATTTTGAACACAGGAAGTCACTTTTAAAAATCATGATTGTCGTTTAAAAAAATGATATTTACTCTGAAAGTTGCTGCTTGAATCTTTGATGTGCATGCTTTGTGAATAGCAATCTGTACTAATCAACAAAACCTTGGTCAAAATTCAGAAAATGACATACATATAGGCCCGATATCACATGCACTCTATTTGTTAACGCAATAAGGTTGAACAAATTCTGCAACTTCCTAAAGGACTTAGCTTGTGGATAATGTCATAATACAGCAATTACTTTCAAAGGACCTAATAAACCCCATATTCCTGTAATTGTTACCTCTACCGTATTGATCAACATGTTTTGTCCCCAAAGTGCGAGGGGTATTTATGAATAAAGGGGTGGCCAATTATACCAGTCGTCAAACACCAAAAAAAGAACCTAAACATACCATTGGCATACATGTGGGTATCGTTAAACTACTTCTGTCATCCATGAATAGTAAGAAAAAATTAATGATGCGTTTATAATTTTAATTTAACCTTGTTGAATACAATATACAGATGAGGAATGCACTGGAAAGGGGAAAAGAAAAAGGTGTTTTTAAATATTTAGCCTTGATAATATAACTGGAGTATTATGGTAGCATGGAAAACAGGCATTTTTGGCAGTCCTATGGGGTTCATTACCCTTTTGTACGTTACATCAATGTCTGAGCGGAAAAAGAATAGTTTGTTTGTGAGTTTGAGAGAAGGGATAGCAGGAAGAAAGGACAGGAGAGAAGAAAATTGTTTTTAAAAACATGTTGAAGGTGGTGAGGAAGATGAAGAGCAGAATAATGAGACAAGATGAAGAAAAGAGACGAAAGAGATGAAAAAGGATACATGATAGATCATTGCAGATCATCATTGTCCAAGCTAAAACTGGTTAGTTATAATTGGGAAAAAGAATGCTTTATATAAATCCAAATAATATTATCATTACTACTGTTCTTATTATCATCGTTATCATGGTTATCATCAACACCATTATTATATCTCTGTTTTATAAAATTAAGTCGTGCAGTAGACAAATCGCGATCACATCAAAGGCAATTTAAAAAGGTGATACAGAAGCGATGAGAGAGAGAGAAAGATATAGAGAGAGATATATATATATATATATAGAGAGAGAGAGAGATAGAGTGAGATAGAGAGATAGAATATTGATGTAATAAAGGTTGATGAGGAAAGTATCAGAAAGGAGAAAAAGAAAAAATGTTCATAAACCAGGAGCTATATTTTGCTTGTCCAATTTGTCTTATATCTACTTCAGGCAATCATAAAAGCAGGATACACATACTATGCATCTTGGGAGTCTAGCCCCGGAGATTGAGAGGAAAAGAATTTAACTCATCATGAGAGGCAAAGATGAGACTTAAGATTCATTAAGACAAGATGAGAAAATATCATTAATTTTTCAACTTGTAGAATTATCTTATTAACTTCACAGACTACAGAAATATGATCTGCCTCTCGAGTACATCTGCCATTAGAATTACAATCTGGTTCACAGAACCGAGTTCTACTTTATATTTTATTCCTTCTTGGAAACACTTCATCACGTTAAAAAATAATGCTCTCATGAAACGAAGGGTATTGTAGTGTGCCCATACCACCTTGTGTCAAATAAGAGTTTGAGTTCTGGAAAAGGCAAATAAAAAGGTGTAAGGTTTTTCTTTCATTTAAAGCTTATCTGCCATAGTTTACAGGAGGGATTAGACCGCCATGCAAGATCACTGGACAGGTGGTTATCTCATCAACTCAGCTCTCAGTTAACATAAGAAAAAGAGGATCATGGGGGACCAATGGTCACCGATTAGGCATCGTTTGTTATATAGAGGGCGCAAGTAGCTACAAGTAGTGCAGTGGGCCTTTAATGTCACCCTCCTGTCATCTTGAAAACACTTCATTCCAATTTAAAGGTAGCTCTCATGAAATAAAGAGTCTTGAGTGCCCTTGTCACAGCGATTTTAGGATGATGGTCAGATCATGATTCTTGATAACAAAGTAAATGACGTAATCTAATGGACCAAGATTGTCAAAACAACAATGTTACAAAGTATTTGATCGCTCCACACATTCAATTTTCCAGGAATCTATTAACGTCTACATGTAAATCATCGAATGCAAAATCCTCTGACGACCTCATATGATAATTACAGTGTGCAAAAGAGAAAGATAGGAAGCGAGGGGGCAGGGACAAACACAAAAGGTTTCACTATTATCTAACATATCTTTTCAATAACCATATATTTATTTTACATTTAAATGAGTCCAATGATTTTAATTTCTCTTCCTTATATATGATTTTGTGACAAAATGAATAAACAGATAGGATCATATTGTTTTTACATTGCCTGTCAAATGTACACTTCCCTCTAAACAATTTGCTTATTTACCCTTACTGTTTTGGTACTCTTTATCCTGTATGAATCTGAATTGTTTTCTAAAAATGTAATTGTGGAACAATTAACTTCAAAGTTCTACTGAATTGGAAATGATAAACTGATTCCATTACATAGCTTGAGCTACAATGATATCTTACCGATAAAGAGGATGATGCCTGGTGCACCATGCATAAGTAAGTGAAACTATAATATTATATCTTTAGTAAAT